CACTGTTCATGTGCATAATTCGGTCTGTGTTTGGCCTGTAGTTGTCCTCGTCCTTGCTTTGCTGTTTTCCTCCGGGTCGCTAATAAGCTCCTCCTGGCCAAGACCAAAGGATCATGTATTTTTCTGTTCCCTGAGCTTCCACACTTTGTTTCCTCTGTGCCTTTTTATTTTGCTCTTGCTAATTCCTTTTACAGTTGTGTGCCATGCACTTTCTGTATCCTCTTCCCAGCTTCTCTGTGGGTCTTCTTGGTTGCCTAGGTTTTCCATGACTGACCTGTACCCACCCTTCATTCTGGATAAATTTTATTTTTGAAAAAAAGGAACTTGATTATGTGCATAGGTGGTTGATGCCAGGGTGATAAGACAGGATCATCATTCTAGATGTGCCCCATTCAGTATTCCTCCTCTACAACTTGCCGTTGCATTGCTACCTTGTCATTATGAAGACAGGACACTGCGCTAGATAGATCATTGTCCTGTCCCAGTATGACTTATGCTTATGGAGACTCAGTCCTTGTAGTATCCAGGTACCTTTCTTTACTCAAAGAACCTGGTCTGCCAAGTACCTTTCAGTCTCAGGAATGCAAGTGAGAAGTCAAGAGCCAGCATATGTCCTATGAAGCTTATAAATCATGGGTAATCTATAATGATAGACTTATGTAGGACTTGCGATGCATCATTAGCATTGGCGGTCCTTGCAACTGAGGACAGTTATCTTCAGTGATTGTCCTATCTGTGGGTCCAAAGATGGCTGATGAGGCCTATCCTGGATCAGCAGATTCTGTTGCAGCTCAGGCACATGTTTCTGTATGGGGTGGGTGGCTCTGGGTTCTTGCTTTAGTCCATGATGCGCTGTTTCTGCTGCTCCTGTTTTTCCATCTCCTGTTATCATCGTAAGGTTTCAAAGTACTGAGATCTTTGCAGCGGGCTCTTCCTCCGTTTGGGGTGGTTCTGGGCAAGTCTCCCACAAGTCGATATCGATGCAGGTGATGTGATGCATAGACCACATACAGGTCACCATTGCCCGGCATGAATTGAATCTATTTGAGGTTCTCAGGTGGCACTATTTAAGGTAATATCTGAGTCTTGCCTAATCATCAGTATACTTAACCTTGTAGTACCTCTGCGATATGGGTCAGGGCTCTTGTCTCTGTTTACTAGAGGAGCAGCTGAGGCCCAGGAAAGCAAAATGACTTGTTAATGAGGTCTGAGGCAGCACAAGTAACTGAAGTCAGGTTCAAGTGTCACACTAGTGTCCTAACCTGGGACCATCCGGCTTCCCCTACATGTGTATATTATTGCCAAATTACATATGTAACAACGAGCACCTTGCAGGTTGAATTTTTTTTTTATTACTTCAAGCTACTCCTGACCTCTGTTGTAGAAAGTCAGGGGGACAGTCAGGTCTCTTATGATCTTTTAGCATTGCAGCCCTTGTTGGTCCATTTTAGGGGCCTTGTTACACATTGCACTTTGAGCTGCTCAAATGTTGATCAGTGTTAGTGCTAGCTTGAGTTTGGAGCGGTCGCACCTTAAGGCTAAAAACCTTCTCTGTCTTTCTCCCACCTGAGCAGCTGTGACTTGTCACTTAGAGGGCTGGCAAGCAGGGGCTTGACTAGGAGCTACACCTGAGTTGCCACTGCAGGGCTGGTGAGCCAGGACAGGCTTCTAGCCCTGCTCTAAGCGGGGGGAGTGAGGAATGGGCTGGGGGGAGGAGGGAACCTGAAGCTGAGAGGCGGAGAGCTGTGGGATGGGGGTGAGTAATGAAATGGGAGCTGGAAAAGAAATGAAGGTGGGGGGAGAGTGGTGAAATGAAGGAAGTCACTGAAGAATAAAATAAAAAGAAGTATAAAAAAATAAAAAAAGAGAGAGACTTTAAAAAGAAATAAAGAGGGAGTAAATTAAAGAAGGCCTTATTCTAAGATGATAAAAGCCTTTGTCTGTTTGGCTGTCAGTCTGTCTGTCCGTAACTCTCCAGGCCGACTGCGCATGCACTGATGAGAGGGTGCGCCCTGATTGGCTGCAAGGGCCTGGAGCATTGCAGACAGAGGGGGCAAGGGAGTCCCCCCCCCCCCCCAACAGCAGCTGGCAGAGGGGGGAGGACGGGAGG